GTCATCCGCTTGGCTCGAATCGGACGAATCCTTCGGCTCATCCGCAGCGCGAAAGGAATTCGGACGCTGCTCTTCGCTTTAATGATGTCTCTCCCGGCGTTGTTCAACATCGGCCTCCTGCTGTTCCTTGTCATGTTCATCTACGCCATCTTCGGCATGGCCAACTTCGCCTACGTCAAGAAGCAAGCCGGCATCGACGACATGTTCAACTTCGAAACGTTCGGAAACAGCATGCTCTGCCTCTTCCAGATCACAACGTCGGCCGGATGGGACAATCTGCTCAGTCCAATCCTCAACAACTCTCCGGAAGAGTGCGACCCGGATGTTCCTCACACCGGGACGAACGTTCGCGGAAACTGCGGGAATCCTTCGGTGGGCATCACGTTCTTCGTGACCTACATTATTATTTCGTTTCTCATCGTGGTGAACATGTACATCGCGATTATATTGGAGAACTTCAGCGTGGCCACCGAGGAGAGCACGGAGCCGCTGAGCGAGGACGACTTCGAGATGTTTTACGAAGTCTGGGAGAAGTTCGATCCGGAGGCGATGCAGTTCATCGAATACTCCAAACTCTCGGATTTCGCCGACTCGCTTTCCGAGCCGCTGCGCATCACTAAACCCAACAAAATCAAACTGATTTCCATGGACCTTCCGATGGTGAGCGGCGACAAGATCCATTGTTTGGATATTCTCTTCGCGTTCACCAAACGCGTTCTTGGAGAGTCGGACGAAATGGACGCGTTGAAGCAACAAATGGAGGAGAAGTTCATGATGGCGAACCCGTCCAAGATCTCCTACGAACCGATCACGACGACGCTTCGGCGCAAGCAAGAGGACGTTTCCGCCGCTATAATCCAGCGCTCGTATAGGAGGCATCTAATGCGGCGCCAGCTAAAACAAGCCTCGCTGCTTTACCGTCAACTCCACATGCCAGACTCCGCCAAAGACGGCGACAGTTCACCGGAGAACGAAGGACTTATAGTTGCGATGATCATGGAGAACTACGGCGCCGAGGTCGAAGTTACGGAAACGCTCTCGGCTACTTCGTGTCCGCCATCCTACGACAGCGTCACGCGAGCGACTAGCGAGCTTTTTCACGCTCTAATCCCGGAGGCCGCGAACACGGACCTCAGCGAGCCTTTGACAGACCGAGATCGCGAGACGTTTCTGTGACGACGGACGTCTTTTCCTTTTGTTTACCGAATGTAACATAGACACAAAATCCTGTGGTTGTGCATCGGAGGCTTTTGTAAACTCTTATTTCTCTTGTGGTTCACGTTTGTTTCGAAGGGGAAAGTGTCACACTGAACATGCACACCTTCACAGTTTGAATGCATGAATGAGATCCGTAGTCGCAGTTATAGAGGATGCAATCATCATATATTAGACAGAAAGCAATGCATTTTAATCAAAGCGTCAGCCTGACTGTAAGTTCATTAGAGGTCTTACTTAAAAAGGCGTGATTCCTTTTAAGATTTGAGATAATGCATTTAGCGGTGCATCCATGTAAATGTTATCCTACTTCATGCCGTTTTGGAAAGCATGACGATTACCTCTTTCTTTAGCGATGAAACGCAGTGGTTTAGTATTTCCACTTTGTTTTTTTTTTTGCCATTTTTTCCGATGTTTCGCTCAATGCCGTCACAAGGTGCAGATATCGTCTAGTAAAAGACAATCAGACATGCACCAGAAATGGTCACTCGCTTAAAACCTGTCTTTACTAACTTCTAGCGAACTATTGCACATGCTTCCTTTCGAACGCGCCACACATTTGTTTCTATGGTGAAGTATTTATTTTGCATGTGGAAACTGCATGGTATGGAGGGGTTAACGAGAACACTTTCTTTTTAAGGCTGAGAATAATTGTTTTGCACACTATACGTTCAGCAATAATCTGCTACATTTAGGAATATCATTAATGATACTTATTGGAATTGAAAACGTGTCAAAGTTTCTACTGTAACGGCCTCCAGCTGTAACTGTGGCTTATACGACTAGTGAAGATTATAGCACACGTGTTTTTCTATCTCAAACTGACTTTAGGAGTTCAGTCCGCTCGAACACGGGTTGGCAGGTTTGGTGAAGGGCTGTTTTATGTAGCAATAGATCCCAAGTGTGCCTGCTAGAACTTAATCCTGTGTTTATAATTCATCTTTCTTCATGCATTTGTTTTGTTTTTTGTAAATCATCCGCAGACTCACCATAAATAGCATCAAACGCAAACCGTTCCATTGGCATGTTTATAAGAATTGACTTCACATATTCGCTTATGGTGGTTTCTATCAGGAAATCCCAGTAAAAAGTACTAATTCGTAGAGATTAGTGAAAAATATGTGACCCTGGAGCATAAAAGCAGTCTTAAGTCGCTGGGGTATATTTGCAGCAATAGCCAAAAAAAACATTGTATGGGTCAAAATTATAGATTTTTCTTTTATGCCAAAAATCATTAGGATATTAAGTAAAGATCATGTTCCATGAAGATATTTAGTAAATGTCCTACCGTAAATATATCAAAACTTAATTTTTGATTAGTAATATGCATTGCTAAGACCTTCATTTGAACAACTTTAAAGATGATTTTCTCAATATTTAGATTTTTTTGCACCCTCAGATTCCAGATTTTCAAATAGTTGTATCTCAGCCAAATATTGTCCTATCCTAACAAACCACACATCAATGGAAAGATTAGTTAGTCAGCTTTCAGATGATGCATACATCTCAATTTAGAAAAATTGACCCTTATGACTGGTTTTGTGCTCCAGGGTCACATATGACATCTAAACAAAACTTTCTGCAATGTATCATAAAAATGGCTGTATAGTAGTGGTACAAAATGTATTGACTACAAGGGAATCGTCCAATTTGATAATCAATGTTTGACTAATTCGTCTGAATCAATTGATATGCAAGCAAACCTTCAAATTAAATTTCTTTCTTTTTTGTAACCTAAGGCTGCTTTAATACACCAATAACCTCATTTTAAAACCTGAAAATTCATAACCTTCACATGTGCAAACTGTGTGTGTTTCTAAACCGCCGTCGTGTCATGTGACGACTGAACTGTAAATAAGCATCAGATGTCACTGTGTACATTTACACAGACTCAACACGGCTTTAATTTACAGGAAATCTGATATTTGACCCGTGCAAACTACATTTACAGGCTTAAAAAAACCACAGAGGCTCAAATAGACTTAAGCTCGGTTAATTGCTAATACAATTATTCTGACATGAAGGGTGCAGATGCAAAGCCTTTATTATATCGTCTCAGTTCGAGGTTTGTTTGCATTACGTTTGAACACTTGAACTTGATGTTTTGGACCTTATTTAGGCTGGATGCCATAATTAATTTGATGAAAATGAGGCTGTGAGGGCAACAACCCATGAAAATTGTTTTGAAATGATCTAGAAAGTCGGAATAATACATTGAGGCTTCTTAATAAACAGCACTGAATTTCTGTTTTAATTGAAATGCATTTTAGAAATGATTTACTTAATTTAACCATTGAACAGATCAAATATTCCTTACACTGGGGAAAAAAAAGGATTAGAAAAAATGTAGCTCAGAAATTGCTAGAAAATTCAACAAAAATATTACAAAGAAAAGGCAAGTAACATTGAATTAAATGTGAATTTTTTTCTCATAAAATGTACTTTATTTGCAACTTCGAAAAATGCCATTTTTATTTAATCATGGCATCCATTGGCAAAAACTTAAATATAATAAATATAACCCACCTAATTTGGGTTTTAAAAGAATTAAAGACATTTGCATGGAAGAAAACACTAGATGCTTAATGTAATTAACATTTCTATCCATAAAATCACATTTTATTTACTGTTGAAGTAGAAAGCGTCTGTTTTTCACTCCCAGGTTGAACAAAGTCAACATGAAATCAGTGTTTCTGGTTTTGTGAATGATTCATCCGTGACGTTATTATAAAAAACAAACAAACATTTATTTCAATAATCATTCGAAATACTTTCCTTTAATGCTGATATGACCAATTTAACCATCCGATCATTGTGTTTTACTCACGTTACAGAAGTAAAATGGGTTGCAGATGCAGTTTCATGTTGACTTGAAGCGAAACAAAATGCCTTGAAATGGAAACAGAGGAGCGAGTTATTTCTGGGCTTAATTAGCAACATCTGGACTGTGTGTGATGAACTGCCTTTGGTCAAACTCTATTTGCACAGGAGAGGAGCCATACATTTCTCTGAAGGTTTTGCGTTGGTGTTTGTGAGATGTGCTCAAGATGTGCTTCTTGACGTGATGTTTTCGGACGGCTGTTCAGCTCACTTCTCTCTCCTCATCCAACAAAGCCAAAGAGTCGTTCTGATTACTGCAGAACGAGTCGTGCTGCTCAGAATAAAGCACGCGGGCTCCGTTTCAAACCCTAGTGAGTCTACATAGGCAGCTGCCTACTTAGGGTGACTCTGAACTCTCTACTTACTGTAACTCGAATAATGTGGGTTGTACAAAAACAGGAGACTTCAATAATACATTAGATTTGACTATATATGACATTTTTTTTGGAGTGCATTTTAGGTCTGTCTTTTGTAGAAGGAACAGCCTGAATTTAAGATTTGTGTTTGAATTGCGTATACAATTTCTATGCATTTGGATTGACGTTTTCACACAGACAAACTAAAGTTGATGTGATGCATAAAAATGGCTTTGAAGTCATTTTCACTCAGAGATTGCTATTAAGGTAAATTGCTGATAATTACAAAGAAATTGCAAAATACACATTCAATTAAACGTGAAAAACTGGAATATTATTTTCTTGTAAATTAAACAAAGATACTCAAAATACATTTACCAACTTCAATTTTTTTTTTTGTCAGTCATACATAATTAATGAATATTGCTTGTTCCGCAGTTAGCCATATTTGAACCATATACATATTTTTTAAATAGATTTTTTTTTTCACAATGACGAGACATTTATGATTCTAAGCAAATGAATTGTGAAAATATTATTTAAATTGAAATAAAATCAAATAGATGCAAATAGTTAAACATGATTAATTTTTGTGTGTATTTTGAGTGCAGAAATTTGGCCCGTTTCATGTGATTATTTGAACTCAAATACATGCAAATATTTGATAAATATATTAATAATATACAATTTAACCATGTTTATACTTCTCAACTGAATACATTTAATTTTCACTATGGACAGATTTATTCAGATTCCAAGCAATTTGAATAAATGCATTTTGGAAATATGATTATTTCAATAAATTTAAATAGGTGCATAACTATTTTATTTATTTATTAATTTTTTTAAAGTGCAGAAATTGTCACGACTGATAAATATTCATCACATTACTAGTTTATGTTCAAACTCTGTAATCCAGTTGCATGGAAATTTTATATGCAATTCAAATATAAAAATCTTCAGTTTAAGCATCAATATCTTTGCTGTTAATAAATGCTGTCTATGTAGGCCGCTCGCATGTTTTCAGGACAGAGCTGGAGTTCAGATCATCTGATGTTATCGAGTAATATTTGCTGCATCCGCAGAAGACAAAAGAGGCGAAAAATGGCAAATGCACAACATTTCAAATCTTTCGAAAGTGAGATTTACTTCATTAGGAGGCCCTGAATTAAACGTCCGTCTGACAGGATTTCAGGTTTCCGCTGCAACACTCAGTTTGCATTAAAACCAGATCTGCTTTCTGCATTTCAGAGATGCTTTAAAGGGAAATCTGTAACATGTGAAATGAAGCCGAGAAACTATTATCGCTCGCTGAAAGCGTATTTAATTAACAAACACCAAATGCAAGTGAAGGATGAAAGATGCACTGAAATCCTGTCGTCAAATCTTCTGATTGGATCCTGTATATTAACGAATGTACCTCACGTATCTCGGTCATGCACTGTCTTTCTTTTCTTGTCATGCATTGATGCTGAAGTTCTGAATATAATATGATTCATGCAGTATGTATTTTATCAGCCACAAATTAAGCACAGGGAAATTTTTCTATCTACTGTTTGTTTCGAAACAATACCAATTTGTGCAATACAATAGCATATGTCAGATATGGTAATTAAAAGGCATATTTTATCTATGCTTTATATATATATATATATATATACATGTACGTAATGTAAAATATCAGTTATCTTGAAGCAAGTGTATTTTATAATGGTAGAATTTGCTGTATTTACTTGCTGTTTTTTATTTAGACTTTTTTTTTGTATGATGATCAACTTTTGGGAGATTTGCGCCGTCTGTGAGCGCTGATCTGGGATCAGGTGTGAAGCTGGATCCGTAGCCAGTATAGATGACCAAACAGGTCCTGGGTCAGTTTTTGGAGACCTGCTTTATCCTCAGAGTCTGAGGACGAGACGACATCTGAACATTTGCCCCTCCAATCATTTTGAGCCTGTTTATTTATTAACCAGGATTTCTTTTGTACACTGTTAGGACTTGCATGCGGCAGTATGAGGCGTTTAAACTTGTGTATTCTCCCCTCTTTGTTTGGAAGCAGCGTCCGGAGTAAACGGGAAACTAGTTCACTTCATGAGTTCGTGTTGTTGTAAAGACGAGGAATCAGGAACGGTCACTCTTTGTTGCCAATTAGAACACCATGTATATCAATAGTCAAATAAACAATAGGATTCATTCTCTCTGTCACGTCGAGTCAATCATTTCTACACTTTCTTACAGATTGTGTTCATCAAATATAAGCCAGGCATAGAAACGGCTCTAAAATTCAACTTTGATTTCATGGGGTTTTTAAATGTCTTGTTTAAATACATCTAAAACATATCAAACGATTAATCGCATCTAAAATAAAAGTTATTGTTTACATAATATTTTTCTTAAATATATACATGCATGTGTGTGTGTACTTATATATACATAATATATATGTGTGTGTACTGTTTATGTTTATTATGTAAACAGTAATTTTTATTTTGGATGCAATTAATTGCAATTAATCGTTTGACAGCACACAAAAAAAAATGAAATTAATGTATAAATACATTAACAGTCCAAATTAACAAATTCACAATTCGATTTTCGAAAGCTACATGTAAAAATTTACAAAAATAAGCATAAAAAATAATGAAATCAAATATAAAAAAATAAATAAAAATAATAATAAAGAAACCCACAAAACTCTAATTTTTAAGCATCTTGATCTAAGCACGATTTTGAATTCAACCAATTCAGTGTATTT